ATCATCAAATCCATACAACATAATTTCATTTTTTTCTGTCTCCCACAAAAACTCCAAAAAAAGTTTCCAGTTAGCATTAAAATTACAGTGTCTATCTTGAATCAAAGCCGTCAATTTCGCCATTTAAGCCAACTCCATCAATTTCACCATCCATTCTTCCATTATAGGTAATGTCTTATCGTTCCACCTCGGTGCCTGTAAAAGCCTTGCTGGTGTTACCATATATAAAAACGAAGTCCCATGAGTTTTTTCCAACTATTTATCCATCAAACCCAAAAGGAGAGTCTTTGACTTTGATTGAATATTGATCTTTAAAATCTTCTTTATACAGATATGTATCTCATTCTAGAATTTTTTTGCTTTTTTACAAGTCCACCAGAGATGATAAAAGGTCCCTTCTTGTTGGTCACATTTCCAGCATACATTTGAAGTACCTTTATACATTTTAGATCATTTTTCAAGCAACAAGTACCAATGATACATCATTTTATAAAAAATTCTCTTTAAGGTTATAACACAATGTAAATGTTAGTTCTTTCTGCCACGTATTTTCCCATTGTTCCATCTGTACATTGCAGCCAAAGTTTTTAGCCCATTTTATCATACAGTCCTTAACTTGTTCATCTTCTGTCTCTAAAAACAGACAGTATTATTAATGAATTAGCCAAAGAAAATTTTGTCCCTGTTCAGGACTTTCCCAGATTTCTATGGGTCCTTAGTATTGTTGAAATTTGTTCAAATAAATATTGTAATTATGCTTATCATATTTTATTCTGTTTTTCTTGCAAGTAGTCCTACAGGATTTTTTTTTTTTTAGTTTTGTAATCTTGTTAGTTTAATAGTAAATTTGGATTGAATTAAAAATACAGAATGTGAATTAAAAATTAAGCATACATTTAGAAATGGCTCAATTTACTTTGGCATTACTTTGTGTTATATATTTCTTCTGAACTCTTTGATATAAATGTACCAGACAATAATCTCCCCTCCCCCACTCATTTCATTCACTCCATGAATTTACTCACAAGTAAATAAGATGGCAGCTTAATTATTCAAACTTTATGGAATATATTATAAATCATATTTCATGTGTGATATAGCTGTACTTTCATGATTAATGTTTTATATTTTATAACTGTAATTGTTATCCAAATCCAGTTTGAACTTTATATTTAGTTCAGTAATTATCAATGTGGGATTTCTGGCTTTTCAAGATGTAGGAAGTATAAATTGTTGATGCAAGTAAAACAGTATTAGTAAGTCTTGATTTGTCAGTTAGTCTTAAAATGATGTGTGGATCTCACATTTATTTTAAACAGCACTATTTTGCTTTTAATAGCAATAACTTGCTTTTAAACTTTCCTTAGATCTTCCTGAAGATCAGTGATCAAGTCATATTGCTTTGAGATTAAAGAAATTCTAGTTGAATTATGGCATCATTTTTCCCTGGGGCTGGCTAAAGTTCTCAAAGCTACAGGATCACCCAGAATATCAAAGTGTTGATAAATTAGCCCACAAAAAAGATAACAGTTTTGGAACAATTTAATTTACTGCAAATTGTTTTCTGTACTTAATTTATTTTGATTTTGAGTTTTGATCTGATCCACTTACTAGAAGTCTTGTCTTCTACCATATGAAATAGACATTAATCTGTTAAAATTTGGATTTCTGTTTTTCTGGCTTCTTCGTTTTGTTTTTGTTTTTTTGTTTCTGCTCATCTGATATTAAATTATATTAAATTCCTTGAAAATCCTTTGAGCTAAAAGTCAAAGTAAAATATTTTAAAAAATCCCAACTAACAAAACAAAAAAGCAGCCTTCAAAGCAGTGAAGCACAAATATTCATCTCCAACTCTATTATTTCCAGTTAAAATGTAATAGTTTAGGGAACATATATCATAAATATGTGCCAGTACTGTACATTTATAAGAAAGATTAGCCTAATGCTTAAATCCATCATTCTTGCATGCAAAGTTGGTTCTACAGGACCAGTATTTAACATTCATGCTATTATAATGATTATGACTGCTAGGAGGAATTTTAAATGTAGGTGGAGAGATAAAGTATAATCCTGCAACTTAACTAGTAAATTACATTTTTTTGTTTTAGATTTGCATATTTTCTATCAGCTGCCCCAAATTTTGTCTAAAATAAATACAGGATATAAATACTGTAAACAGACAGATACATGTTCATGATCCTTTTACTGAAAGTCAGTTTGGTATAATGGTTTAAGGCACTTGATTAGAAACCAGGAGATTTGAGTTCTAATCCTCCCTTAGGCACAGAAGGCAACAGGGTGACTTTGGACCAGTCATGCCCTTTCAGCCGTAGGAAGGTGGCTCTGGCAAACCACTTCCAAATATGTTGCTGAGAAAGCTGCAGGGAATAGTCCATGTGGTCACCAGGAGTCAAGACTGACTCCAAGATACTCACTGTATATATGTGTATAATCTTTTCCTTACTTAAGGAGTATATTATTTATAATATTTATAGGTCACTTTTGTGAATAAACACCTCAAGGTAGATTCCAAGATAAAAATGTAAATAATAGTATATTCTAATAATTAGCAAAGTAATAAAAACATAGTAATAATAAAAACACATATTTTGGCTCTAAAATACTTTTTGAATTCAGTAAGTACTTACAGATAAAATCTTCAGCAGTCCACTAAAAGATAATTCATGAAAAATGAAAACAAAACTTTGATTGCTATAATGAATTCCTGGTAATAATATGTAAGGCCTTTTTGTGCACAGTAACGAGATTACTCTTGAAGATTTGTACTTGACAAAGATCAGTCTTGCAGGCAGGAGTTAGGGTTATCTGAATGAATCTGAAAATGGTGATTAGTTCCATCTGGGTTCATAATCCCCATTTTCTATAATGTCAAGTATAATAAACATTTCTGTTACATTACTTAGTTCATAGTATGTGTTTTCCCCCTCTCTTTTTTATGTGCAGAAAAAGCAGCAGCAGCCAATGAAGATGAAGTACAGAAAGCTGATGTGTCATCCACAGGTCAGAGTGTAATTGACAAGGATGCACTTGGACCAATGATGCTTGAGGTGAAGTGTCAAAAGTTTTTATATTTAAAATTATTTCCACTGTTCTGATAGATTCAGCAAGATAAAATCAACATAAATTTGGATTTTGTTTTTGCAGAATTAATATATAACCAAATCTTTTGCCATCCTAAAGACTATCCAATATATTATGACACAAACTTTCTGCAGATAAGGTTCACTTAATAAATTGTAGAATAGGAGCGCGTGAATTGTAAAATTCAAAGGCAGTGCAATGCCTCAAACAAAACGAATAAAACTTTGCATGTATGATCTGCTAATTGATGTTTTTCTCAATCTTATTTTTATTTCTCAAAGAGTTTCTGACCACTCTTTGAAGGAAAAATAATTAACTTGCATTGTTCTTCTATAATTTTATATGGGAGAGTATAACCAATTAGATAATAATCTGACTTAGAAGTGTAGCAGTGGGTAATAAAAAATAGAGTACTTTACAGCCTGTAAAGGATATGATCAGACACTTAGGAAAACAGTATCTTATGTAAAGAATTTCTGCAAGAGAAAGGCAAATGTATAGTCAGTAATGTGATAGAATAGGAAATGATAACATAAAAATGTAATAGTGTGATCCTTATTTCATATTCATAATATAGTGTGATCCTTATTTCATATTCATAATATTATAAATAATTATATATTATCTTATTTGCTAATATATAAATGAACCATTTAATAACACTCTGTTTATACTTCTTTCTGAGGCAGAATTAAGGTCTGTTTAATAATGCTGTTATTTAAATTCTGTTCATTTAAGTTCTGTTATGGGCAGATGTACCTAACCATATACAGAAAACAGCAGAATATTGTTCAAAGAAGATTTTTTACTCCAGTTTGAAATTTGTTTGATTCAGGCTAATTGCATGGGCAAAATTGACATCCTCTAAATTTGATTCCAATATTTCTTAAGGAAAGAAAAGAAAGTCCCTAGTTCTCATAGATTCAGAAAAAGAAGAGAAATATTATTTGCTATAATTTATTATCTCATTACAGTCCTGCCTACAGTTAAAATCTGAAGGACTTGTCCTGCAGATATCCCCACTGTCAGAGGCTCATTTATCTGCCATAAAGGAGAATCCTCCTCCTGTGTCACTCCCAGGCTATAGAAGGCACATCTCTAGGACTTCCATTTAGTCCTTACTGTCTTTCTTTAAGAGACCAACTAGTACATAGCTTTTTCACTAGGCTTTTAATTGCTTTAAGCCTTTTCTGTATTTTAATTATTGCTAGCTGCATTGACAACTTGAGCAAAAAGAGATGATAAAACGAATTATATTGATCCCATCTTCCATTGTCATGACCAGTAAGAATTAAAGGCAGGATTCATATGAAAAATAACTGATAAGTAGAAAGATAAGAAAGAATCACAATTCATTTACCATGAGATAGTGTTTCCTTGTTCAGTTTTGTTACATTTGGGAGAAACCCAAGGGTTTCAATTATCAAAGATTTCAGGTTGCATTTTAATTTTCCCTTCATGCTCCAGAGTTTTGCATTTAGCTTTTCCACTCTATTCACTAAAATTGAATAGTTAGTTAGAGGAAGATTACACGGGTGGGTCTGGGATTTTTGTTTTTGTTTTCTTGGATTGGGGCAATTTAGCCTTTCTTCATTTCCCTTTTTTTCAAAAAATTATGTTAAAACTTTATTTGAGTTTCTCACAATTGCAATTATGGCCCTATGAGTTCTGGGCATCAAAAAGGGAGACCCAAAGAACCACATCCAACACCTAGCCATCAGGATGCCTATTCCTGCTTTGTGCTGTAATCTACTGATAGAGGCCCCATTTTGAACACCCTTTAGTCTAGCAGAGTTAAATCTACTTAATTGGCTTTGTTGGGTCCAACCCTGCCTAAATAGAAAGCTATGTTATTTTTACAAATTAATTACAATTAAGTAAATTTAACTTTAACCAAGTATGCTCATCACTGTGGAGACTAGATGTCTAAAACTAACAGAAAAGAGCACAAATTTCTGTCACTGGGAGGAGACATATTTCAGTGCTATTTTATCAGATATGCTGAAATTTGGGATGCGGGGAGAGAGATTTAAAAGAAAGATTTTATGTATACCAATTTGGACTTATGGAGAGAAGTTTGTGTACATTTATACATTGCACTGGATTACTACCAGGACTTAGCATGGTTCTGGTTCTGAGTCACTAACTAAAATAATGCACATCTGTGTGTATTAACTCAGAAATAACACTAGTTAGGTACAGTGAGGCTTCTCTTAGATAAGTATGCATAGGTTTTCAGCCTAATGTATTAAATATGCTTTTAAATATAGCTTATATTTAATTCAGTACACATTATGTCAAATACTTTTAGCAATGAGATATTTATAATTTCAATTATCTATCAAGATTTCAGGTTGCATTTTAATTTTCCCTTCATGCTCCAGAGTTTTGCATTTAGCTTTTCCACTCTATTCAGTAAAACCTTGTATCTTTAGTGTGTCTGTTGAAAACTCACATTATGAATTTAAGCCATGTATTTCCTCTTGCCTCCAGCACAATATAGAACATAAAAGTTGAGCATTATTTCTAAGCTTTAATGTCCAGTCATGTTTGCATCCATGCAGCAGTATATTGTTAAGCAGTGTAACTCTTTTGTATGAAAACTTTATTTACTTAATTACTGTAATAGAAAGGGGACAAAGTTTTGCCACCTTGTCTTTAATCAAGAAAAAATTAAGGACAGCTTGAATCTTAATATGATAATTAACAAAGCCTTTCTCCCCTTTTTAAATTAAGAGATTCCATGAGATGATAGTAACATCATTACTTTTATCTTGTGTGGATTCTCACACAAGAAACTTGTTGTTTCCTAACTTCAGGCCCTCGATGGATTCTTCTTTGTAGTGAATCTAGAAGGTAATGTGGTATTTGTATCAGAGAATGTGACACAGTACTTACGGTACAACCAAGAAGAACTGATGAACACAAGTGTCTATAACATCCTACATGTTGGAGACCACAATGAATTTATCAGAAACCTGCTGCCAAAATCTTTAGGTAAGTGCTCTAAAGCTATACTCTGTAGTGATTATGCTTTTATTTACTTTTGTACATTGGTTTTGCCGTCACTTGGAATGGATTTCAAGTGTTTGCAATTTCATGGCATAAATTCACCAGGGGTCAGCAATATTTTCAAGCACCAGGTTCCCCCCACCCATTGCTGAAATCGTTCAAAATTATAGGTAAGATTTTTTTTTAACAAAAATGTGCAATCTTGCGAGTAGCATCTGAAAGTGTTGTGACTAACCTGAATGTCCTGGTATCTTTGTCCACTTCTAATATAATAAAGATGTAACATTGTAATATTGATTTCCTAGTTGACCACTGCCCATAAAAGGGACAAATGAGGTAGGCATAGGCTCTGAAGGAGGACGAAGCTCCATTGTACTATCCTGAGATCCTCTACTCCAGTTCTGCTTATCAGTACTTTGGTTGGTAAATGCAGCCTCACATGAGCAGGATGAGCTTGGGAAGGCAAGCAGGTGTGGAAAAGACACAGCCTCTGGCTCTTCCCTAAAAAATGACCCTTCTGTTATTTCTTTAGAAAGAGTCTCATTGCTCCCACCTTCTGCATAACCAGAGGAAATTGCCTTCTTTGTGATCACTCTGATAATGGCATTGCCTCCAGTTAGACTAAGTGACTTCAGACTGGTCTTCTCCAAAGCAATTTTCCCAGATACCTCATCTCGCATGTAAATACAGACAGGGGACACTTCACATTGCTGTTCCACATATTCCCTGGTCTGTGTAAAATGGTGAAGAATATCCCACAAGGTCTGGCTGGAGCTAAACGTGTCCTGGAATCTAGAACCATCATGTAATTGCAGTGCAATCCGTATTGTATTTTCAATTCCTACTCTATTACGAGAGATTGGCAGCATCTCCAATTTGGTATTGTTGGGTAGGTTGGCAAATCTCCATTGCAGAGAAAGATCCAGCTCTGTCCTCTGAAATTTCAAATCATACTCATTGGGACTAAAATTCTGCTTTCTACAAACTTCTTCCAAGACCTGGATCAGCGTGGTGCTTGGGCCTACTCTCACCATCACCTATTTGGGGCCAACAACGACATGGCAGAAGTCCCCTCTGCCAGCCGCCGACATCTTTCTCTATCTCTCTCTCCTCCTCCTAATTCAGGCCAGCTTTCCGCCACTGCGGCTTCCCTCACCTCCGTCCCCTGGAGGCACCAGGTTCTTCTGCAACCAAGCCCAATGGCCACAGCAAGGGGGCGTGGCTTCCTTTTCTAGTTTGTTCTTGCTTCCAAAGCAATTTCTCAGATCAACCTTTTTTACTTTTCCCTTTCATATATGATGTAATTACATATAAAAATTGATAGCTCTATTGTTCATATTGCTATAGTCTGAATCTTCATACATTGTGTTATTTTTTTCCAATATAAAATTTAAATTGCTAATGCTAAATGAGAACTGTAGTGGTTAAAAAGTTGTTTTTGATAGAAGATTAGATGCCAATTAGAAAGAATTTCAAGGATTTAGCTTTTATACCCCCAAATCGATACAGGTAATCCTTGAGTTATGACTGCAATTGGGACTGGGATGCCATTGCTAAGTGATGCAGTCGTAAAGCCTGATGTCACATGACTACATTGCTTAGTGATTGAAATCCCAGTAGTCATAGTTGTGGGTTGACAGGGGCCAGCAGAGGCTGCGGGAGGGCTGGTGGAGGGTGGCAGGGTGCTGCAGGCAGGCTCATGCTACAGAGTGTGGGAGGGCGGGGGTTGCTACAGAGTACAAGATTGGATCTTGTACTTCATAACGGGCTCCTCAGGAGAAAAAGCAGCAGGAGCAATTTACTGAGGACACTTGCGGCCTTCCCTGCTGGCTTCCCCATTGACTTTTCTTGTGGGAAGCTGACAGGGAAGGTCACAATGGCGATCACATGATGCAGCTCACTGCGACATCGTAATCACAAGCTGGGCACCCAAGAGACTGGATCGCAATCATATGACCAAGGAGAAGCTATGACAGCTGGAACTTCAAGGACCAGTTGTAAGTCCATTTTTTCAGCGCCACCGTAACTTTGAACGATCACTGAATGAATGGACATAAGCCGAGGACTACCCGTATCTCTATTTTTTTTTTTTAGTCATTGACAAAATAGTACAGTGCCCACTTTCTCAGTGAGATGTGTCCACAGGTGGGGATGGGTTCTTCTGGGTATATCCAGCATAATCCTAAAAAATTAAAATGGTTAAAATGGATGGATAACACGGTATGCCCACCAGATCTCTGAGATCATGCACACACATTATTACCCCCCTACAAAAACACACACACACACACATTTCAAGGCAGAGTTCACTTCAGATCATCAGAGTGCAGCAGGAAATGAACAGTTTGTTCCTTGTTGGGGCAGGTCACCGTGCTTTTCAGCTGACTGGCAAATAAAACAGGCAGGTTGCTTTTCAAATAGACCAGGTGATTTGTGTGATTACCTGGCTGGCAGGGAGCAGATCACTTGTTTTCCCACTGATAATACCAACAAAAAATTAACAGTCCTTTCCCCTCTGTTCACATGATCAATCGTGCTTTTTATAGTTGTTGATTGATTGATTGATTGATTATGTACCATCAAGTTTTTTTCGACTCCTAGTGACTACATAGATAGATTTTCTCCATGATGATCTATCCCTAACCTGTTTTTTTCAAATTTCCCAATGGTGCACTCATCACTGTAACTGAGTCCATTCACCTTGCCACTGGTTGTCCTCTTCTCTTTCCTTCACCTTTCCCAGCATTAGGGCCTTTTCCATAGAGCTGGGTCTTTGCATAATGTGTCCAAAGTAGGATAACTTGAGCCTGTGTCTTGAGTGAGAACTCTGGGTTGATTTGCTCGATGATCCATTGGTTTGTTTTCTTGCCTATCTATGGAATTCTCAGGAATCTTCTCCAACGCCAACGTTCAAAGGCGTCGACACTGTTCCTAACCTGCTTCTTTGAAGTCCAACTTTTGCTTCCATAGAGTGTCACAGGGAATACCATGGCTTGAACAATTGTAGGTATAGATACATCACGGCATTTGAATATCCTTTCCAAGGCCTTTATGACTGCTTTTTACAGTTGTAGCCTGCCATTATTTTCCAAACGTATATATGCACTAACAGAGAAGTTTCATTAATACAGTGCATGTTGAACTAAGTATTTGCTAAGGGACTCTTCTTTTTTTATTTTGAAACTAGGAACATAGAATATGCTCAGAAGAGAGTCTGAATTTGAAATATTAAAGAAATTCTGGTGGTGGCAGTTGCCAGAGATATAGCTCATTTCTAAACAACATTTTGAGCTACCTAGAAATTCTTTTTTGACTTCCAGCATGTTCTGTGCTGTTCTTTCCTTTAGAAGTTCATATTTTTTATCCTTGTTTGTTAACTGCTTTTCTCCTACAGTATCTAATACTGTTTTAGCTTAGCAGATGAGTTTGGCTTTCTGTTATGTTGTCAGTTCTTTCAGTCACTACTTCACTGAATATGGAGAAAGTTCATGACTGGGAATAATTTTCATCAGCTTATGCCCCATGATGAATTTTTTCCTATGGTAATGCAGTATTGATGTAAAAAACATATGGACACACCACTGAAGTATGGAATGAGTGTTTATGTTGTGGCAAGGATTTAACTCAAGAAGAGAATATGGTATATCAACAACTTTGAACTAGCCCTGAGTCAGCAGCCATGTCAGCACTGGCATTGACTGTAATTTACTGTTTCAGAGACTGATTGCATCCCCACTAGTAAATTACTTTTAAGGGTTTAAATATGGCTGGTCAGAACATCTTGGTAAGCACCTATTCATTGTATATGAACTTTGTTTTACTTAGTGAATGGTGGACCTTGGTCTGGTGAATCTCCTAGGCGTAACAGCCATACCTTCAATTGTCGGATGTTAGTAAAACCTTTAACTGATTCTGAAGAAGAAAGTCATGAAAACCAGGAAGCACATCAGAAATACGAAACTATGCAGTGCTTTGCTGTTTCTCAGCCAAAGTCCATCAAGGAAGATGGTGAAGGTAAGCAGAACATATTTTATCTGTATGAAGGATGGCCTCCTCAGGTGTCTTTTTCCTAGCACAATTTGGTTACTAATAATCTGACCAACAGCTGAAAAACAGCCTGTCAGGAGCCTGTCTATAGCCTCATGTTCACTCCTCCACAATGCATTTAGGGTAAAGCAGTGGGCAACCATAAAAGGAAAGCTGTGAGAGCTGTCTGTGAACCATAGATTACTTATATGATCTAAATTAGTTATTGGAAGAACTCATTATTTATATAAATACAAGACTGTGACAGCATTTTATATTTTCTGGCCCCTCTAAGTATCTCATTGACCAATATACTGATAGACATTCTTTGATTTCTAAATTAAACATTTACTGACACTCAGTATATACAGATAGATATGCATATTATTTGCTTATCATACATAAGCAATGGAAATTACTGCATCTGAATACCCTTTGATGTCTTCCCCAAACTGATTGTGTAGAAGCAAGTCATCTTGGTTTCATGGAACTTGCTCTAAAATATGTATACTTACAAAAGTTGATAGAAATTATTCACGTCACAGTAGGACTTTCTTTTTATAAATTACGGCTTACTTTCTATTAAGTTTGTTATTTGTCCATTGGCTTTCTTGGAAAATGATGTTAAAAGCATTGCAGCTTTCAGATTTATAATTGTGTCCATACATGACAGTCATTTTGAGTGAAATACCAGTGTGGTATAATGATTAAGAGGAAAGCCAAATTCTAGTCAACCTTATAGATATATAAGATATATAAGCTTACTCAGTAATTATTATTATCACTGGGTTGTTATTGTGGGAAAAAATAGCAGAAAGGAATGTAATGTATGCCACCTTGAGTTCCTAGAGGGAATGTAGGCTACAAATCTAACAAAAATGAATTAAGCTACATCATTCAAGGTAGGTGTAATATACAGGTAAGAGAGATGAAGATAGTTCTTTAATTTATATAATGGTCTTCTAAAATACTGAAGCTAAAATAAATTGTTCCAGAATACTTTCTTGATTAGCTGGTTGAAGAGCTCAAGAACTAGAATGGGTTTAGTGTGCAAGATTCTTCTCTATTTTCTTTGCTTGAATTAGAAATCTGTTTGGCTTGAGGATAGTTGGCAACCAGCAGTTGCTTAAGCATTAAACACTTAAAGGGCATTCAGGAAGTGTTTGAGAACTGTTTATTAGTAGTCTCTTAAATTTGGCATTAGGGAGGCACTGCTATTTTCTGTTTAGAATGCAGATATGTTTATAAGGTTATAAGGCATTAAGGAGTAACGACTCTTGATTTGCAATATGTAAAAGAAGTTACTGTGTTACTGATTATTGAGCATTGAAGGAAAAAAATTGTTCAGGCAAATGTATGTATATTTGTACTATTTTAAACTCTGGGCTTAATGGAATTAAGTCTGATTTATTATTTATATTTAATAATATTCATATAATAAAAGACAAATCAAAAGAAAGAAAAAAGAAAAGAAACAAAAAAAGTGCAAGAAAAAAAGAAAACTAAAGTTAAGAAATATATGTGATTCTGACCTTCTTTATCTTTATCTTATTTCTTTATCTCCTCCCTCTTAAATACTTTGCAAATTCCCTCACCCTCTTATTTAATCCACATCTTTCTTATTCTTCAAATCCATAAATCATAAATTCATTTTTTTCTTTTTCAGCAAAAAGTCCATATAAGGTTTCTAGTCTTTCAAAAGAAAAATTGTTTGTTTTCTGACCAGAGTTTTATCAACATCCATTTGGGAAAGGGTTGATCTGAGGAATACTGCAATCCTCACATAAGTGAAATTTAGTCAGAAGAACTTAGGGATTCTTGGAGAACTAAGGAACTCCACTACAGCAGGGGAATAGTCTTTTCTGCATGCCATTTTCATGTTTGCTGTCTTACAAGATTTTTAATTGTTTAGTAATTCTATACTCCTCTATCAGATCTTTTTGTGTAATTAAAAAATACCTTTGTTCCATTGAAGATCTGCAATCTTGCTTGATTTGTGTGGCACGGAGAGTTCCAATGAAGGAAAGGCCACTTCTGCCCTCCTCGGAGACTTTTAGTACTCGTCAGGATTTACAAGGTACAAAGAACATGTTAAAAACTTTATTTAAAAAAATGTACAGGAGCTGAACTATGTCTTGCATCAATGTTTTCATATATTTGTGTGTATATATGTTATGTATAAACAGGCAAGATAACTTCATTGGACACTAGTACCATGCGAGCAGCTATGAAACCTGGTTGGGAAGATGTGGTGAGAAGGTGCATTCAGAGATTCTATGCACATCATGAGGGAGATATATCTTTTGCTAAGAGGCATCACCAAGAGGGTAAGGATGCTCTTTTTTTTTTTTTACTTGAAATATTGAAATAAGTTATTTACAGCAGAAGCAAAAACACTGGTTGTAATCCAGAAATCTTACAAGATTTCAGTGCAAAGAAGAGATTTTAAGATGCTCAAAGACTTCCCTGTTCATTGCAGTACCATTTTTTAATTTATCTCAACATTTATATCCCACAATTTTGGTATAAATATTGCTTACAAATTTATTTCCTAAGGTTATCTATTATCTTCCATTAAAAAAAATCAGGGCAATTAAGAATAATTCTTACAAAAAATTGTAATATGACTATAACATTTAGTATACATTGCTAAAACAATTAAAAAGCAGTAAAATAAAAAGTGGCAAACTTAAAAGTAAATCAGCAAACATTTAAATGCTATAGTGAATAAAGAAAACTGTATAGGGCAGAGTAGATGTATGTAAGTGTTTGTGAGCAGCACTGTTGGTGACAAAAATTTTGGAATATTTTAAACAGAATTCCAAAGTGGTAAGGGAAGGAATTAACAGTGTTAAAAACACTGACCAGCCAAAAATGATATAGGATTTTTTTTTAAATTAGTGACAGATTCTTTCTCCCAAGATCTTTTTGGTTAAATATGATATTAAGGTTGTGTTTCTTAACATCCTTCAGACTATGTAGCTGGAACGTCCTCGAAAGAACATCTCCCTTCAGTCCAGCCTAGGAACATTAGAGAGGAAGGTTTTGGGATCTTCCTCCCAAAATCTATAAATAGAGTACCTAAAAAAACTTTCTGAATTTCTTGAAACACAATGAGTACCTGTGCATTCAGTCTTACAGGTGAGGGCTGAATGAGAAATCCTTTTTAAAAGCAATATATCTACATCTCTAGAGACAAAAAGGAGTTTATTTAGGAAAATAGGGAGGGCAACAATCACATCTGTAATTCCAAATAAAATCAATAAAGTTGGTTAAGCTAAGCTAGCTTCATGTGAACTGGATGATGGATTTCATAGCCTGTGCAGATTCAGTTGCAGAAATAATGTCTTAATCTTTGCCTCCTGTTTGGATGTTGTTAGGTAGATTTCTTTATTCTGTCCTTGGTTCTCTGGAGAGCTTTATCCTCATGATTTTGCCCAACAGTATAGAGAACCCGCATTCTTAAGAATCCTACCACTGAATGATAATAGGACTGACTAGTTTTAACTGATAAGGATGATCTTGTAGAGGCATTTTGCAATACAAAAGATAAATTCTGGTCATCTAAAGCTCCCAGCATGAGACCAACATATGCTCTTTGGAGAATATAAAAATGAGTTAGTCTAAAAGTATTGTAATCATCATTCACAGTTTGAATCATACATGTTGGGTACTCTATTAAGAAACAAGTTAATTGCATACTTGCTAGGTTGAAGGATATATTTACTAAATTGAAGAATATAGGATTGTTGTTTATATTTACTTCTCAAAAGTTATAGATATATCAAGTGGTATATAACCTATCTCTCTGATGTTTGAAAATTTATTTAATTATTTACCTTAATTAAATGTTTATGTAAAGCCCCCTTATCTGGTAAATTATTTAAATATTGTGAATTTCCATGGTAAACTTTGTGCAATTACATATGGGTGTGTTATTTAGATTGTAATTATTTTTTCTGAAGTAAAATTTTAATTCCCAAATAGGCACAGGCTGTATATATTTTTAAAAAGAGAGGAAAAACAAATTGTGGCATTTTGATTTTAAAGTTCAGGGCTTTGATCCTCAATTCTATAAAATAGCTCTGGCAGAAAGTGGTGAGAACTGTAACTTGTGTATGCAAGATTTTAGGGAAAATATTTTGATATTGAACATTCATGTCTGAAAATCCAGTGTGCATGATATATACTGTGGCTGTAGAGTTACTTAACGTTTCTTTCCTCATATAAGACTGTCCTATGTTGGCCAGTAGGTAAACTCAAACATTGAAAGGAATATTGGGAGCTATTTAGCATGTCACATGCTAAAAGGGGGGACAAGATAAAAGCTAACAGCCATGACATGCACATGTACAGGTTTGGCTTTTATTGTTGTTATTATTACTGTTTTTATTTGTTAGAAACCCTTTTTTTCCTCCCTTCCATCTTATAGTCATCTCTGCTAAAGTACAGAGCGTACTCCCAAAAGACTAATTTAACATATATGTTGTATATCTGTGGCCAAAGGGGGAGGTATTTCATTTATTAAGCCTCTGCCTAACCTAGAGACTGGGGAAAGGATGCGTCTGCATCTCCTGCTTACGAGTACTCCAGAGGCAACTGGATAGCCTTTGTGAGAAAATGATGGGCTATGATGAGGCCTGATCGATCAGGGTTTTCCTTATGTTTTTGCACCTATTTAATGTATGATATATGCAAACTCCAGTAGTATAAGGAACTAGTTTGGGAACAATATCAATACATTAGTTGTTTGCTGAATTGTAACTTTAGTGCCAAATGTAAAGAGTTTCAGGTTAATCCAGGGAATCATTGTGGTTGTTTGTTGTTGTTTTCCTTTAACACTAAACTTAAAATGGATCATGCCCTGGAACAAAACTCTCATACAAGATTCCTGTTAGTCATAAACAGAAAGGTGGGATACCACACATTTTATAATAAATGAGTATCAGAGAAATCAAAACAACTGTAAATGGTTTGATATCTGTTTTGTTTATTGGTGAAGATTGCTGTGAAGATGTATTTATTCAGATCTGAGCTGACTATAATTTTAAATAAAGACAATTTGTCACAGTGTATTTTAAAAAATCCCATTGCTTGCAGTTACAGAGTAACATCCTTTTAGTTTTTACATGCTTTAAGAATCTTAACATCAATGCTCTTGACAAGGGTGCATTGGAATGTCCTGTTCTGTATGAAAAGACTGTTGCCCCAAAGGTTCAGGCTGAATCAGTGGCATTCCTTAATGTGAAATTTCATTATACATTATTCGTTATACATATTCATTATACATTACTACAGTCTTCATTTTTCATTCTTACCCTACACAAACCTTTATGATTTTTTAAGTTATATTTTCTGGTTTCCTTCTGCCAAATTTTTCATGTTAAATGTTATAACAGGATAGACTACTTGAAGGCAGGAACAGTTTGTTTGTTTTTTAAAAAACCCTGCCATACCAGTGTTGCAAGTCTGGACAAGAAAGAAATGTCTAGCACTGTCAGCTTCTTAATGTCATTTGACGTATCTTATCAGCTTTTTCTAACCTGGTGCCCTTCAGAAGTTTTGGACTATAACTCTGTCTCCCCAGATAATGTGTTTCTGGAAGGCACAAAATTGTGGAAGGGTATACTGTATGATTTATGCAGGAAAACTGCAAACTGGTAACAGGTCAGCAATAAAAACTGGGCTTTCATGCACTAAAAAAAACAAGTTCATTGTCAAAGATAAATCTTATAATATCTAACCATTGTTGTGTGTGATTTTTTTCTAGTATTGCCTAAAATCTTAATATTTTAAGAATTTGAGATTGCTTTTCCTCTATTTATTTATTTAAAATATTTCTCTACTGACTTAAAATCTCAAAGCATTTTCAACTGAAAAATTACATTTACAATTAAAAACTACAGGTCAAAACAATTAAAACATACAATGTCTTTTTGTTAAAAATAGAGTTAAAATGCTAAATAAAAAAAAACAGCAAAATAAGTATTAAAATACTAGCAGAAAGAAACAGCAAGCAATTTAAAAATGAATTATTGAAAGGCTTTCCATAAATGAGTATGGAGGTATATTGGGGCCATAAGAATAGAAACCAACTTATTTTGTTTCCCAGTAAAAAAGGTATTAAAGTTACAGTCATCAGATTTAATACTATACCATTTCTATTAGAAAATGAAGCAAAAGTTACATATTTGAAAATTCATGGGGTTCTGAATTGGATTATTGAAGTGTTTAATTTAGTGTTTCTCAACCTTGGGAAATTTTAGATGGGTGGGGTTTTACTTCCCCAACATCCCAGCCCCCCCGCGGTGTGTATGGGGATTTTGGTTAGAAACGCACTC